CCCCACCCCCCCCCCCCCCCCCCCCCCCCCGTCCCCAAGCTGGGCTTCCACTCCACCCTGCAAGGTCTGGGGCTCAAGTCTGCTAAACCCTCAGACAAACCTTCCTCTGCATGAAGGTACACCCCAGTGGGAGGACTTTTGTTAACCTTGAAAATTGAACAGCATGCATATCGGATGCTTGGGTGCAGAAGGTGGTTTCCAGCGGCTCCAAGCTAGCGTTATGCTCTCCTCCCTGCCCCATCTTCAGTTTCTCACCTCCAATTTCCCTGTGCCACTGCACAGATTAGTAGATCTCCGTCAAGCCCCTTTGGGTCGTTAAGATCTCATTGCCCCAATTCCTGTGGAAAAAATAAATGTTTCAGGGGTTTTACGCCAACCTGTTCACATTTCCCAAACCCAAAGGGGCATCTGCTCCATCTTGAATCTCAAAGCACTGAATGTCACTATTCAGGCTCGTAAACTCTGCATGGAATTCACTAGGTCTGTCATCCCCCTCCCTTCACCAGATGACATGAGAGTCCTGAGTTAAATGGTAACTGCCTATGAGGTAGTCCCATTTGCTCAGTTTCTTTTCAGGTTGCTACAATGCAATATTGTCATTGTAGGAAAAGTCAGTCCAGGCCCTGAGCAGATCAATTAATTTGGCACAGAGTGCCTGGTTATCTTTGGCTCAGGGACTGTGCAACTGGAGTCAGGGACGTTCTTCCTTTCCATCTTATGCAAGAGCCTCATGCTGGATTTCAGCCTGTTTTGGCTGGGGAGTAGTCCTGGGCACCCTGTCTGTGCAGGGTACTTGGTCTTTGAAGAAGCCTGTATCTTGATCAACATCCCGTAACTTTGGGTGATTTGGCTGTCTCTGTAACCTCTGACATGCTGCTGAATAATCCTCCAATGTGGATTCAATTAGACAACATCACAGCAGTGGAGTATATCTGGGTAAAACTAGAAGTCTCTCCATGGCAAAGGGTAGAGTGGATCCTGTCCTGGGAACAACCTCATGTTCTTGCCTTGTCCACTTCATCCCAGACATGGACAATTGGCAGGCAGACTTTCTGGCTTCCAATTTCAACAACAAAGTGCTCAGTGTTGTCTCCAGGCACAAGGATCCTTTAGTGGAAGCAGTGAATGTTCTGGTGGCTCCACGGGACCAGTACACCTATCTCCTCAACCAGCTTTTCATTCTACCATTTCTTGGTGGCTCAGACATACCACTGTCCAAGCTTATGGTCTTTTGGATAGGGTTCTAACCTTTCCTGTCAAGCCATGCTCTACTAGATCTGTGAGTGCCATTTGGATCTTTGGCCTCAGACTACTGTTTCCCAGATTTGCAAGGCTGCCACCTGGTCTTTTGTTGACACATTTTCCAAGTTCCACCAGGATGTTCAGGTCGCATCTGATGGTAGCTTCAGGCTTAAATTTCTTCTGGCGGATTTTTCAGCTTGCAGACAGTCCCCAGTTCTTTTGTTTTTAATGGGTCTGTTATCGTTTTGTTTGCAATGTTGCCCCATCCTCCGTTGGATTGCTTTTGGACATCTCGACAGTTAGTGACTTCCTGTGTACCTCAATGTATGAGGAAAAATTAGGATTTTTGTACTCCACCATCAAATCCTTTTCATGGAGTCAATTGAGGAAAACTGGTTCCAACCCTCTGTTTTATAATCCTGTCCTTGGTACTGCTTTGCTACAAATTGAGGCATAAGGTGGGTAGCAGCGGTTATCCTGGGCTGGCCTCCAATTTTTTTGTTTGCCAGTGTCCAATACTCCTGTAAGTGGCATTATAACTCAACGGTTAAGAAAATAATTTTTCCAGAAGTACAACAGTTTTTTTCCTATTCTCTTATTTTAGACCACACAGATGCTGTCTAGAGATGGTGTTCTCTCTACTAAGGAGACTTCTCAGAAAACTCAAGTGAGGCTAACAGTCATATTCAAGGAGCTGTAACTGGAATGAATGGTCAGCCATGTCAAGAGATCTGTACAACACTGACAAAATTTAAAGCCATACATGTAACACAAACCTAACATGATCCACAGCTCAAACACTATACATACAATACATTAGGATGGTAGCATTATAGAGCTTTGCTGTTTTTTGTAAGAAAAAAAAAGCAGATTATCAAATCTCCTGAAAGAAAGGTAAGTGCAACATCTGGCAGTCTTGGTGGAGGGAATGCTCATTGTAAGATACTGTAGATAGACAGACATCTTTTAAAGTGACACTAAACTCGGAGTTATATTTTAAAATGCCTTCAAGTACAGTACCTTAACTATTAACAATACTGTACCTGTGTGCATCACTCAGCTGTAGATCCTCAAATCATCTCTAAATTGGTGCTGACACTGTCCTTCCTTCTGGAGAGTGGGCACTTTTGTTCCCCATTTTCCGTGTGTGTTGTAAAGTAGTCACAGCTCCAAGCTTGCTTCTGTGATGGACTACAATCTCAGGTTTAGTTTACTAATTTGTATTGAGATTGTAGTCCATCACAGGAGTTACCTTGGAGCAGTGACTACTTGACAACACACAAAAGGAACATGAGGAACAAAAGTAGCCACCCTCCAGAAGGAAGGACAGTGTCAGCATGAATTCAGAGATAATTTGAGGATCTACAGCTGAAAGATGCACACATAAGGTACAGTATTGTTAACAGTTAAGGTATTTGAATGCATTTTTTTAATGTAACTCCTGAGTTTAGTATCACTTAAACTGTTACTGTCTGAAGCTAAACATAACTAGAGCACTGGCTTTGCTGTATATTAAAATGTATTATAACTCCTTAATATGAAATTGTTTTCTTTAGAAATCACTCAGCTAGGAGACTGCAAGAGAGTAGCTTCTTTGCGCTGTGTCTCTGAAGTCCAGCAGTTAGTGGTGCTTAGTGGAAAGAGTCACAGCGTTCGCCTATTCTCCTGGGACTTTATACCAGACTCGACCGGAGTAAAGATTCCTGAGGCAAAGGGCTGTCAGGCCATTACATCTGGTCTGGTTTGCCAAGGCTCCACAGCTGTTTTGTGTGCCGCTTCCAAGCGTCAAGTCACCTGCTTCCAACTGACAAACCGCAAGGGTCTTCCACGCAAGATTAAAGAGTTCCAGGCACCTGGAGCGGTGCAGTGCATGGACATCTTGGGGGAACGACTTTGTGTTGGCTATTCCTCTGGATTTTCTCTTTATCCTCTCCTAAATGAAGGAGCTCCATTTAACTTGCCCCACCCAGATGAACCTAAACTATCTTTTCTGGCACAGACTGCCCATGATGCCTTTTGTGCAGCAAGACTCACCCTTAGTGAATACCTACTGTGCTTTTCCACATTTGGAGTCTATGTGAATGCAGAAGGTAAAAAGTCTCGACCGCAGGAGATTATGTGGCCTGCTCCTCCACTGGCCTGCTGTAAGTATTATACTGTATCTGTGTGACGTTGGTTATGGTACTGGTGCCGATGGCTGTTTCCTATTTAATGTTGTGTTAATATAGCATTTGTTGGGAAGCAGCTAAAAATGCCCATCTCCCATTCAAAGCATTTCCAAATCCTATAATCCTCTAGCTCCCTTTTTATGGTCAGGTGTGGGATCCAGGATAGAGGGGCCTAGAAGTGCTTATAGGTTGCAAAAGCAAAGGGGTAACTTTTCTCTGTATAGGTATTGGTGACCTTTTATTTCCCATTATGGAATTACAGTCATCTGATATTAACTTATTTACATCCTGTTAAAATATTTATAATGGTTATGGGCAGTAAACAAGAAATATTCTGAGCAAAAGAGCAGAGGGTTGTTGCTTTGTGCACCAAAGGTTGTGTGCCGACCGGGTACATTGATGGCAATCCAGGCAAGAACAATTATATCAAGTAGACTAACATGTTAGTATGTGCTGGCCAGCAGTTTTTGTGCTCATTTCTCCCAAAACTGAAAGACTAGTGTGACCAACTCTTTTATTATTCCTAGTAAAGTTTAATATGGTACATGGCTTGTTATAAGGAGGGTTGTTTGCTGTCATTGGCGGTAGGATAGAAAGGAAATCTAATATATCTTGATGTGGGCAAGTTTTTAAATATTTTTCTTGCTAGGTTAAACAAAGATCTTAGGTGACCAGTAGTTCATACTAACAAATCACACTCCCTTTTAGCAGCCAAGACTTCCCACAATTTAATACTTTTTAGTGCATGAAGTTTAATAGTTTAAATGGCTTGATCAGTTTAAGAAGATTGACGCTTATATTGCACAGCCTTAAATTGTATGTAAAGCCAAAACTTGTTCTCACTTTTGGATAAAGTTGTGAAGGGTTTAAACTTGTTTTTGTGCTTTGTGCATCCCATTGAAGAGATTTCCAGTCCAGCGATACAACAGGTAGTAAACCAAAATCTCTGCAAAGTGAGAGGAATTCTCCTTTTAGACAGCTGTCACTGGAACTTGAATTTCTCTACTCCGTTGTGGAATTTCCCTCACTTTCAGCCCTGATGGCAATGGTCATTCAGACAAACCGAGAGACTGAATCTACCAAGGGGGGCAAAAAAAATAATAGGGATTTCTAAAAAAAAATTTTTGCCTATACGCACACTTAAAAATCACCAAAATGAAATTTGCTTGTGGATGTTTCACTGATGAGTGTGAAGTCAGGATGATCGGAAACTGACAGTATAACTTTGGAGTGTTTCTCCCTGCAGCATACACATCTCCTCACCTAACAGTTTTCAGTGAAAATGCGGTGGATATATTTGATGTACGAAAAAGTGAGTGGCTCCAAAGTGTTCACCTCAAGAAGGTAAGATTTTTCAGCATGTACTTTAACACAGAGTATTCATTATTTCAGTCCTTGATTAAATATGCTATTTTGTCTTAGCCAGCCACAGGAAACCAGAGCACTGCACACTTTCCCCCTTCCTATTAAAGACAGTTCATGTGCAGTGCCACAGACATTTCTCCGGCATAGTTTAGTAACTTGTGCTTTTGCATTCACAAAATCAGGCTGAACCTCAGGCAGATATATTTTACTTGGTATTGGCCTCTTGCAATCTTCTATACAGCAGCACTCTGAGGGAGGGGTAGAATTTTGAACCAGTAAGGTGCATGCAAATATGTTGACAAGAAACATGCTGACAGGAGCAGAGCAGAGTGGGACGGGAGACCGCAGAAGGTTGGTGGTA